GCAGAAATGGGAATAAAGGTGGAATCCATCCTCAGGAGTTATTTGTCTGAGTCAGTACATGTGGACCAACCTTCCAGATTTTTGAGATGTGACATGTATGTGGGGGAGACCAGCTTACGGAAAGCATGTGCAGATCAAAACTATTTATTGGCCTCTTCCTTTCCACAATAACAGACTTTTAAAACAGTAATTATTGGTCCTTCCAATAATTGGAAACATGCAGACTTTCTCCTGACTAGCTTTGGACTGAACTGTTAGGGGATTAATAATTCTGATAAAATAAATGTTTCATCCTTAAATAAAACAGCACCAACAAAATGCCTTTGAATTCTTTGATCACAATAGGAAGGTAGTTTGGTTATTGAATGGATAGACTATGGTCTGCATTCCCTTATACCTCCCTGCTAAGTACTAAATATTTGTTTAAGCTGAAAATTAAGGAAAGAGGCCCTCTAATATCCTTGAAGAAATGAGCCAGCTCTTGCTTTATAAAATAAATATTATTTATTTCAATTAGGATGTTGCCCAACTCCAACCGACTCTTTGCACGGAGGACCCGTTTTCCTACCTCTTCACCCCTTTGAATATTTTTGGGGAAGCTTCTTGAACAGGCACAGGTGCTGCCCTCAGTAATGCTACCTTATTTTGTGAGCACAATGAGATCATGGGAAACCATAGCAGAAAAAAGGAATTGTCAAGTGGTGAATCACCCCTTTTGCCCAATGATGCCTGGCTGAGTTTGGAGGTGAGAACTAAGTGGGTGAAGCCACAGGGCCTTTGTCTCCTACTTCATCAGCGAATGAAATATGCAAGGAACTGAATGATGATCTGGAACTTTTATTACTCACTGCAAATCAGAAAGGTCAAAACCCAGTTGACCAGACATATTAGATGAGGATTTGGCTCTGCAGAGCAGGGAATTTTGGCACAGTTAAACAGTTTTCTGCTTAGTACAATCCCCTACTTTTCCCTGCAATCCAAGTGAAAGCAATAGTCCGTGGCGGATCTCCATTGTGCTGGCTGCCTCCTTTCTAAATTAGGTTGCAGGAGCAGGCTGTTTCACCCCAAAGGAAAAGCCCTATACCAAGGGAGGAAGGTGAAATCATTAATGTAGCTCTAGACCCACATAACACAGTCACATCTGCCTTTACGCCCAGTAGCTCTTTTCTGAAAACTTGAAATCAGATTGAAGTATAAGGAAGTGGCTCATTTGCAGTGGTTTTCCCGGAAGAGCTCTGCCAGGGTGGCTTTCGCTCAAGAAGCGATTCCTGGCTGGTGAGGTGAGTAAGAGACCTCGGTGAAGGCAGGTGTATTCCATGTCTGTGAGGCATACAGGAAAGGCCAAGGTTTGTGGGAGAAGAATTCCCCTAATTTACCAGTTTCTTGAAACAAGGTACAGGAGGCTATGACTTGCATCACATAAAAATCTTTGCACTGCCTCTGTTAAGATGGCAGGTTGGCCGAGAACTGAAACAGAAAACATTACAATTCTGAGTTACTATTCACAGTTTTACCTGCTGTTTTTGTCACTTTATCCAGAGTGCAATAAATAAGTCACTGTTTACATTTAATGGGGCTGTTATATCTGGGTTGCAGAATTCCAGGGAAACACAAGATGGTTTCTGTTTCTCACTGCTGCTCTCCAGGGGAATCTGGATTATTGCAGCCCTGTATCACTGACAACTCTGAGTCCTTTTTATTCTTTGCAACCCGGCAGAATGTTGGAAAGAAATTGCGTAAAGAGTCTTGGGACTCTGCCTGTCCATCAGCAGGATAACTCTCCCAAACCTGAACAAAATGGGGCCAAACTTGATATGGTGGGATCTGATGCCAGATCCAGCCAGGGTGGTGAGATAAGCATTCCAGAAAAATATCCTTCAGTGTAGTGGTGTGTGGGAATGACTGTGGGAGACAGGAGGAAGAGGCGCAGCCTAGACAACTGTCTGATAAATGAAATTTATGAAACGGTCTGAAGGAGGAGGAGTGGAGAAAGCATCTAAGAAGAGACCCTCCCTAGTTTTCAGGAGGGGCAGGAAGGGTACTTTCAGACTTCCAAGATTGATGTTAGCCCTTTGAGGTAGCCCAGACAAGAAGCACGACCAAGAGTACTAGCTCTATCTTTATTGTAAGGTTACATTAACAGAATCTTGGAAGTCTGCAAGTACCCCTCTCGTTCCTCACTTTTACTCTCCCAAAACTAGGGAGGGTCTCTTCTGAGATGCTTTAACCATTCCTCCTCTTTCAGACTCAAATTACATTTATCAGACTGTTGTCTAGGCTGCGCCTCTTCCTCCTATCTCCCAAGGTCATTCCCACATACCTTTATACTCAATGCTTCCCTATAGGAGAGAGGTTGACCAGTGGCCTGGAAAGCTGCTGAGTGCTCCTTCCAAGCCCCCCTCCTTCTCCATTCTGGTCACATGACCCAGAGCAGAGCATATTTAGTATGCCCTGGGCTTCATGCTTATAAACGCACACAGATGCAGAAGGGAAAGCAAAAACACAAAGACATGTTACTTGTTCACACAGAAGTACATTCAGATGCCTCATAAGACAAGTAAAGAGATTTGGAGAGTTCTAGCAGCCATATACTGGAGGCTTTCCCCACCTTGACTCTCTATCATCAGAATCAGGTTAAGCTGGGCAGATGCTAAACCTACATCTGGAAGTTGTGATTAAAAATCCTGAAGAAAACAATGACAAATGTCTTCCATATTATTGCCAAGAGTATGACATGGATGTTTGAGGAATCATCAAAGTCAAGCCCAGCTTAAGAGAGACTGGACTTGACTTTAAAAAAAATGTCCAGAAAGTTGGCTATCTCTTTTTTAAAAAATCAATTTTAAATACACAGCCATTGCTTTGAAGTAAGTGCTAATGCATAGGGTTTTGTTTGTTGTGCCTTCGAGTCAAACTTGATTCCTGGTGACTGCCTAGACAAGTCCCTGCAGTTTTCTTGGCAAGGTTTTTGGAAGTGGTTTGCCCTGGCCTGCTTCTTCCTAGGGCTGAGAGGAGGGACTGGCCCAAGGTCACCCAGCTGGCTTTGTGCCTAAGCCTGGGGGGGGGGGCCGCGAGAGCGTGTCATCCCCCGGTTTCTAGCTGGGTGGCTCGTACATGTCAACACGC